AACGAAAAAAATGAGTGCTTGCTGTTTGATCTATCATCTGATCATTTGGCCCTGGACTGGTCCACATAAATTGCGCGCATAAACCGAATCGAATTGTTTCTTAGATTAGATTCTTTTTTTGAGTTCGTATTAAGTCGAAAAGTTTGTAACGATTTTTACTATAAAAAAAGGGGAGAGCGAGTTTGCTTGAAATTTGGTGTTTCCAATGCAATCATTGAAAATGTTGCAGAAGTGTTTTGGAGAGTCTACTTTATTACAAATAAAAGTGTTTGAAGTGCAATGAAGGTCGTAAAGTCATCAAAAATTTGCTTCTTGCCACTCCATCCACATCTGTTAGTGATGAAAACATCGAAAAAAATTAAGGACCAGTGCTTGAAAATCGTCGTGTTGGCATCAGAGAGATAGCAAAGGTTCTCAACATCTCTCGACTTAATACAGTTTGGATAATGTTTTTTTGGGTATGAATCGTGTCAATGCTGGACTCGTTCCAAAAGCTGCGAACCCTATATTTATAAATCGAATCGTTACTGTTGACTGGCGAAGCTTTTAACAAGTGTATGAAAAATTGGATTAATCGTTGTCATTCTTTTATTGGCTCAGGAGCCTTATGTGGGGATTAAAAATTAGATTTTCATTTTTAATCCAAGATGTTTGGGATTAAAAATTGAAAATATTATTTTTTGATTTGAATGAACGAGAAAAAATTTTAATTCTAAAACAAAATTTTAATTCTTAAATATATGTTTGAGATTCCGGTATGTATTTAAAACAAATTTTTAATTCCGTATTTGGGATTACAAAATACAAGAAAAATTGTAACTCAAATGTTAATTCTGGGTCATGTCACTCTGGGTCAATTTTGATTATATAGTACACATAATTCTGTTTTTATACGGAAGATTGGTTCCAGAAAAAAACATGTAAAAAAAGACATTGATTATTCCTCTACAATTGCTCTGACCAGTAAACTTGCTTGTATCCACAAGATGGCAATTCCTCTTAATATGTGGTATAAACATATGTATTTCGCAAAAATTAAATCTGACAAATAAAATGTAAACACAAACAATTTTTGTGCGCTAAATGCAATAAAATCGTGTACAAAATTAAATTTGTTTGCAAACTGTGTTAAATCAAATCGTGTAAAAAAAAAATACCTTTTAAAAACAGAATTAGGTTATATTTCCTTCACGGTTGGCAAACATGTCCAAATTATTTGAAAAACTTCTTCAATGTAGATACTTGCGTTCCTATTTCATTTTCTGATGATAATTTTCACCACATAAATTTGCGTATTTTCTTCAATTTCCAAAAATTAATTTACTTTCAAACATCTATATGTTTCAGAGCAATAGCCCTATAATAAATTCTATAAAATTTTGTACCGCTATTTTTCCGCTTAAAATTAAAATAGTTCAAGCTCCATTGAAATAGAAAAACCTCTTTCCACTCGTGTTTTATAACAAACAGTTACGACTTTTAACATTCATATTTTCCGTCATATGCGTACGTTAATAACTTAAAATTTAATTTAAAACACCGCGACGTTAAATATAAAATTATATAAAAGTGAATGTGTGAAATACTGTTATATTCATGCTTACATTACACACAAAACGTAAACGCATTGTGCATAACTATTATAGCAGCGGCGACCATTTATCATTTTTTGACGAATACTTCGACGTTTGATTACTAATTTAGCTCAAAACCCCCAAAGCTAGCAATAATTTTCGTCAGTCTGTTGTAAAAACAAACGTTTTCAACATACGAGTATAGCTATATACCATATGCATGTGTGTAGTTTTCTATTGAAGTGTGTGTGAACAAATTGGTTCGTGTGTAAATTGCAAGTCATGTGCAGACAATACGAGTATATTTCGGAAAAAAAAATAAAATAAAATTTTAAAGGTTATTGATACTGCAAGCGGTTATTTCGGTGCTCTTACCGGTATTAGCTACACAACGCAGTAACTACACATTACTCTAAATCAAGCAATGCGTACGGTAAGGAAGAATGTTTTTGGGCAATGTTTTCTGTATTATTATCAAATGTTTTCTAGTAAACGCTGAGTAAGGCGATAATAGGTTTACCACTAATCACTTGTAGCCTAGTTTTCCTATTCTCGCGGTACTTAGCGCACACTTAAAAGCCTTTTGGCCCAGCAGTGAAAGAATATTTTTTATTCAATGGAAATATGGCTTTATTCTACTAATTTAAATTTACAATTAGAACAAAATAAAAAACGTTATTTAAAAAATTAATATTGGGTGTATGCATTAATTAATTCGAAAATTAAGACTTTTTACAAATGGCATCTACTGAAAAGGACGCGAAATGATAGTACCTTTGAAATTAATATTGCCACAGATGAACACGACGCGAAATAATACTAGTAAAGCCCTCTCCTCGAAAACCGCACGAATTAATGCATACACCCAATAACAAAAATTTAAAAAGATCTTCATCTGGATTTTTATCGGTTAGCTTGTATGACAGCTAAATATATGCTATAGTGGTCCGATTTAAATATTATGTTCGGAGATTCTATCGCTGCCTTAAAACGAAATATACGCGATATCTTGTCAAATAAAAAAGTCTTGTCAATAAAGACGCAAAGTTCTCCATACAAGAATTAGATTCGGACTAGTATATAGTTCTTTCTTCTTTTTAGCGATGTTGTTCAAAAAGCTCAGTACATCCTATCACACGCAAAGCCTTTTTATTTCGAAGACAGTACTTGACCGTTGAATATTCTGTCCTAGATTTGCGTAATTAAGACATGGTAATATGAAAATCACGTTTTCCATTGTAAAAAATTAATATCTTATCAAGTTTCAGCCGGACTTAAAAAAATATATATTTTCAAGTATTTTAATACAATACTTTATTATTAGCTTCAAAATATTCTCCTTTTGAGCCAATATGAACATACCAACGCTTAATTTAAGGGGTCACATGGGTTTCGCGGCTTCACAAAAAATTTTTTTTTTGTCTTATTTAATTCTATAACATCTCTAGAATATTGTTCCACAGCTTTGAAAAGTTGCGCGCTCGAGGTCAGCTATATTGCCACTTAAAACTTTAAAAGCGCTTTTTTCGAAACTGTGTTTTCAAAGTCGGTTGTCAAGATTTCTCGCGAACTACTCACCGATCTTGATGAAGTTTTATACAGGTGTTTGAGATACAATTTACTCGTACTTGGACGAACGATTTTTTTTCAAATACAACTATTTTAAAAAGCCAAATTCCAATTTGAACTTGTTTTTTTTCTTTCGTTCAAGTACGAGTTTATGGTCTTAACTAAAACACATATATTTTTTTCATTTTAAATTATCCTGTCAGGAGTTATGCTGACAACGCGGACGCACCTTTTTTTCGAGGGGTCACCGGAAATGACGTTACAATAGCGGAGTTTTAACTTTTTTTTTTTGAAAATCTCAGAAATTATTCTTTAAATGTGTATCGTTAAGACAGAAAAAAATTTGAATTAAATAAATAATTTTTATATAAAAAAAAAAATTATTGAAAATTGGCCGTTTTTTACCCGACAAAACTCTCGAAACCATGTAACCCCTTAATTTTCCATACATTTGTTATAATTATCTGCTGACATGGTTTTCAAAGGACACATGGCGCGTTCGCCGAACGTCATTTTTCAGTTTTGAAAACAAAAAGGTCATAGGGGTTTGACCCTATGAAACGAATTCATGCACCAGTGCGGGTCAGCTTTTCATCAGCTGGTACTGTCTATCTATACTACATAGACTTTTCTTTTCTTAAAGGAACGATCAGTAGAGCTGGCTTCAAAATAACAATATTTTTGTCTGTGTTTTAAAAATAATTCTCATTATAATGAACAATATTTCAGATATCCATTAGCATAATAACATTAAATCACTCTTCAATATTAATGCTCTCTCTTTCGTATGGCCTCACATATGACAGTGATTATTTCCGCTGCAATGCTACATTCCTCATTATATCACTTGCAAGATATATGTATTTGAAATTTAGCTATGTTATTGTCGGCTGCCAAAAGCAGCGCGTAATGCGATCATATTGCTTATGCATGTTGAGGGCTCGTAAGATGATCCCTAAAAGCAGCTCAAAAATGTGAAAAATATTTATATACATATATATATATATAAATTTGAAAGTATACTTACACCAACCTATTTCATTGTAATCTTATCTATTTCAGGTTGTCCATGGCGTTCGCGTCGAGACGGCAGATTCGCTGCATCCACACCAGAGTATTCATAGCATACACAAACGCAGCACAGTCGCCGTTGACCAGCCATTACGAATTTTACTCTTTTATGACGAATCTGTTTTCAGGTTAGACCTCTTAAGTATATCTTTTGTTATTTTATTAAATTCAAACGTTGCATGAACGAGTACATACACAAATATCGTACATACTGACGAAAGTACATAACCAAGATTAAATTTTACTACTAATTGTATTTAATAGAATAATGACTTGGTTAGCGCGTTTGAGGCGTAGGCTGTGCCAAGCACATTTCTACATACTCACAAGCATGGAAAACATTATATATTTATTATTTTTCTGAGATGCAAACGGATACTAAACATTTTGTATAAAATGTAGTACGTCTGTATATGCGTAGGCTTCGTTAGAGAGGCTAGTTTTAATTTTTAGCCATTAAGTTAATTATAACTACGAAAATTATTGAATTGCGCAGCTTCAGAAAAAATATGCGTTACCTTGTCTTTCACTGATACCCTGTTTTGCAATTGTTGTAATGAATGCCTGAATCGATTGAATATAAATATGATCGGAGAAAAACTACATTCACCTTAGCTTTTATATATGTACATACATATATGCATTGTATCTAAGTTATGTCGGCATATATAATGTTTTCTTAAATACTGAGTAGTAGGGTGGAGCGAAAAAAAAAGTTTTTTGGTTTGCTTAGCCTGAGGGTAAAATTTGTAGATTATAAAAAATAAAAATTACCGAATTTGACGGTTTTTAACTCAAAATTTATTTTAGCGCCTAAAGAAAAAAGCGCCTTTTTTTAAAACTCCAATAATGAATACAAAATTTTTTTTTTAAGTTGATAACTTTTATTTGGCCCGAAAGAGGACTCTTCACAGCTTCTAGAAACCTTAGCAATAATTTTTTACGAAATAAATATTTTATCTCGAAGTTTACTTTAAAAGCGAGTAGTTAATAACAATTTTAATACTAAAAACTTAACTTAAACTAATCTTAAAAATAAGAAATTATAATACCATCAACAAAACAAAATTTAATCTAACATTTCTGCATGAAAAAATTTGTTGACATCTGAGTTCAAAGGTCAAAAAGAGGTAGCATTGACTCTCTACCTATAAAATCAATATCAATTATGATATTATTGAACTATTTTTATATTAGGTCTAGTAAAAAGAAATCCGTAATTTTTGTCGGGGAGCAGCTCATAGTAGATGATTCCCTGCCAATCCCACCAACACACACAACGAACCCTTCCTGCCAGTCAATCCTAGCTTGCCTACTGTTTGTGTTTGTGACCCATTTTTTATCACCAGTTACCATCCACTTCAGAAATGGATCGAGTTTTTACAATTCAGCAGCGATTCGCAGATAGAAATTCGGTCCTTGAGGTTTTTTTCTTTAACTCATGTGGCATCCATACATCGAGACTCTTTTTGTATCCAGCCTTATTTAAATGGTACCAAACGACTTTTTGGTGGTGGTGGATCTTTGACTTCAAAATACTGGAACCAAATCGATGAAACCAAAATTGCGCATAAAAAACTGTAAAATATGGCGTATTTGCTCTTTACTGCTGTCCATCTTTTACGCGTGTTCAAACAATACTCAAAAACAATTACAAAACTGGCTGAGAGGTTTTTTTTAGTACGCAATCTTATCTTCTTAACCGCATTGCGTACCCAATCGCACTCATACAACGCGAGATAAAGATTACTAAAGCCACCTATTGGAAAAATAATGCATTTCTTTTACTTTTATAACAAAATATTTGTGTTTTATAAAAAAATTTGAACTTTTCAATTATATAATCTTGAGTTATGAAATCTAACATATCTGAGCAAATAGTAAACGCTTAAAAAATTACAAAACTTATGTAAATAAGACTTTCGAATAATATTATAGAAGAAATTCGCCATTACATTAATACAAGTCCATGCTGAAAGTGCAGACTTTCGAAAAAGGTCGCCAAACGTCTCGAAATGGCAATGCTATATACACTTGTGCTTATTACTCTAGAGTCTCTCGTTTCACGCTGTTCATGCTTAGCTTTAATTACAAAAAAAAAATAAAAATATTTTAGTAAACTTAACGCGATTGAAATTAAAGTTAAATAAAATAGCTCGCTTTATCTTAAATGGCTAAACAGTGATTATTGCTAAATTGGATACTAATCTCGAATGTAAAAAACGCTTAATTATGTGTAGATGCTTAAATGTGCATATGTATGTGCGATAAATGTGTAGACTAATATCCCAGTAGCGAATGTAAAGAGAAAACTTTTACGCGCAACTGTTTCATTAAAAATTTGTTGAGGTTAATTGAAGAACTTCATAAATATTTATGTTAATGAATTTTTTATGAAATAACCTATATATTATACTGTACATGAGATACAAGATAAGACTTGCCAAGTTTGTGTCTGAAACATAAAGCAACTCGGCTAAATATTTAGATAACTCAAATAAAATTGATAAACTTTAAAATTTTTTGCTATTGATTTTCTATATTAACAAAATATGTATTTTCTTATCTTTTACATCCTGAACAGGGTTCAATTTAATTGATTTAGCCACATTCGTCTGACCGTCTGTGTCTGTATATACTTGTACGCTGATATTTTGCATACGTCCTTTTCCCCCTTTTTATGCTATAAGAAATGCCTTTACACCTGCCTTGGTGGAATCGAAGTCAACAATTTTTCTTGTTTAATTAAACATTTTATCAAAAGTTAGTCGAAAAAATCACACTTCAACAAACTAATAAATCATAAAAGAGTAATTTATTACATTTCTCTACTGGGTTCTTGACTGTACTATATACTAACGCATTTTAAGTATATTTAATTATTTCCTTATTATACATATACGAGTTGTAAATTATAAAGCGCAGTGTTCAGGTGTTGTTTGTTGACTTCGATCATAAACATCGTTTCCCGTGAAAACTACCAACTAACTTTCAGCATCGGCCAGCACTCCACGCGTTCAATTAAATGTATACATACAAACATGCAATATAATTTCTTTTGTGCAAATTTGAGTAAGTTTCATTTAATTGCTAATTTTCCGCAAACTAAATTAACAGCTTTGCGTAGTTGAACAGGTTTCTTGCAGTTGACGCATTAGCGCTGGTTGCCCTTGATAATTCCGATTGCATTTGACTGCTGCATTAGGGCGGTGCTTATATTTTATGTTACTATAATCTGGTAATCTGGTGTTTAATAAAATATTTAATGATATTTGCAGCAGTGTTTTGTAGTGATTAAATATTAAGAAAAATAATAGTATATTCAGAAATAAATAAAATTTATATTCTCTAAAAATATTTTTGAATAAGCTTATGCTAATGTTAAATAACTTCTGCCACTCCAGATATAATCCTATAAAATTTGAAGTCTTGCCGAAACTGAATTAAAACATAAAATTAAAATAGATAAACATTTTCAAAGAAGGTATCGTATGTTGAACATTCCCATTCTTGCTTTAGCTAACCAATAGTTTTTTAAATAAAATTTTCAGTACATAATACACTGTCGATTTGACCAGTGCTTATGCCATAAATATAATATGTTGGTCATGAAAATCGCAAAAAAATGGTTTGGTGAATCATATGTGTGCGTCTTGCAAAGTGTCACCCTAATATTCTTATTGGTAAAGCTGCAGACGTGTATATGTGAATGACTCTACATATTCTCAAGATTGATTTGTACATTAGTTTAAAAAAATAAGGTGTTCGATAATTACATACAGCAGCGGCCAAATTAATAGTGTATTTTAAACAAATCTTTATTATTGCCTTCCAAATAAGTTCCGGGGCAAATACATGTACTTATACCAAGTTTAATCTAGTTTTTCATACACTTGTTATAAACATCGGTTGCGATGGCCATCAATGTCTTCCGCAAATTTTGGTTTTTTGGTTTCGGCTTATTTTAAGAGCTCCATTCGCTATATTGTTGGACAGTTTTGAAGTCATATTCATACACCCATGACTCGTCATCAGTATTGATGCGTTTGATGAATGTAGGTTCCTCAGCTATGTTGTCAAACAATTTTTTTGCGACCTTTACTCGACGTCGTTTTTGCACAAGATTCGGGTCTTTTGGTTCAAGGCGAACATTGACACTGTTCATATCCAAAACATTTACCAAAATGTGTTGAGTCGATCCATAAGAGATGTTGAGTTCATCTGCCATTTCTCTGATGTCAGCACTCTTTTTCTAGGTTTTTTCGATATTATCGTCATTAACAGAGGTGGATGGACGGGCATGCGGCGAATTTGTGCACCTCAGATACTAGTGTCTCTAGATTCTCTATTAAACACAAAATTTCAAGCAAACTAGATGTTCAATATTTCTTCTATGGTAAAAATCGTTAGACAAACTTTTTTTGTCGTTAACAGTCAGCTGCCAAACACACATATGAAGATCAAGCTTCAAACGAACAGGGTTGTACCAAACTAGAAAAAAATTAAAAAAATTAATCATTCAGTTTGCGCGCACGGTTTGAATGGATCAGTCCGGGTCAAAATTGATTCATTTTCCAATGGACACAGTTTTTCTGAATTTATGCTTGATTTATGCTAAATTGAGTAATTCCGTCTTAATTTATTGAACGATATTATAATATAAATAATTAATTAATACTTATTTTAGACCTAAACTAAAACTTAGCTATAAATTAAGTTAATATGAACATAGTACAAGTTAGGTATTATGAAGGAATGTGCTAAAGTTACATTATTTTAATAACCTATTGAGAATGTGGGCTAGTAGATCCCATTAATTTACAAATATTAACATATTTGCAATAATAATACGCAATAATATTTAGTAAAATGCAAATATAAAATACAGATTAGAGATGAATGTCAGAAAATAAGGAATTTACCTCACTTGCAAGATTAATTAATAATTAAATCGAGTGTGGGCAAGTGTACCGACATTACGCCGCTGAAATCTCAGACATATTATAAGTACATAAATTTTAGCTGGAGCTACTTTTGTACCACCTGTACCGCTTTTCCTATTTACCTGGATTTTATGAACAAACCGCTTTGTGTGTAGTATAACAAATTATTTAATACTACTGACCGCAATCTGATGTAATTTTCTAACTATAAATGCTAATTTATATATAATGTAATGTATATGTTCTGCATAATTAAAAAAAAATTGGTATTCACGTTGGCTGAAAATGTTGAGAGAAATGTAAAATACATACATATGTGCGCTATTTAGTCTTTTGTGGTAATATTATTACTTATTTACTAAATAAATGTTTTAAGATAAAATAATTTGTGAATTACAAGTATGTTATTATTACGCTTGTATCACAGCAAAAAATTGATTTCATACCCTGTTGTAACTTAAATAATTTTATTGTCGAATATATGCTGCTAAAGCAATTACCTAATGGGTTATATCCAATTGTGAATTTCAAGATATCAATGTATATATATTTGCGAATATTCTTCGAAAGTATGAAGTTAATTCAGAAAATAGTTCCGAAGATATGAACGGTGAGAAAAGTTTCTTCGACTGGGATCGGTGGACTCTTATGGTTAAAATTTTCACATGACTTTCTTGGATATATTTGCAGGGAAGTTATCGAAGGAACACGATTTTTCACAATAATTTCGATTTGATGAGCTCTTTATAGTGGCTTTTTGTAAATGCTTTCACAAAAAAAAATTTTCAATGGTAAAAATTTATTAGCCACCATTTTGTCAAAAATTACAATTTTAAATAGTTCGATCATTACTTATATTCATCTGTAGTAGTAGTTTTTTGGGATTTTGGATTTGAGATAATTTAAAGGCAAAAAATCCTCAACGTCAGACACCTTTTTTCGGAAGTCGTACTGGAAATAGGCTACGGGATTAATTTAATTTAAATTCTTTAAATGTATACTGAAATTGAAAAAATCATAAAAGAAATGAAAGATAAATCGGGTGGTGTAGACGGCATTAGCAGTAAGATTTTAAAAATTATAGCCATAGATATTAGTATACCTTTAGAGCATATTTTCAATATATGTATAAATAAAGCTATTTGGCCCTCTGTACTTAAAAAAAGCTGATATTATACCTATACATAAATCCGGGGACAAACACTTAGCAAATAACTATCGGCCTATTTCTCTAATCTCAAACCTTGCTAAAATATTCGAGAAAATAATATATATTCGATTTTATGATTTCTGTAGGAAAAATAGTTTAATTTCTCCGAACCAATTTGGATTTATGAAAAGTAGAGGTACCAGTGATGCTTTAACTCTTACATCAGATTTTATTTATAAAAATATTGATAAAAATTTACCATCTGTCCTAATCTTTCTAGACCTAGCAAAAGCGTTCGATACTGTAAATCACGAAATACTACTAGATAAGATCTGGAGGCTTGGGATTAGAGGAATACCTCACCAATTACTTAAAAACTACCTTTACGAAAGGGAACAATGTGTAAAAATTAACAATTGTATTAGTACAACAACTAATGTAAAAGTTGGTGTGCCACAAGGCACAATATTGGGTCCTTTGCTGTTTATCATGTATATAAATGACATCTTCAATACTCTACCGGAAATGGCTCTCGTAGCCTATGCTGATGATACTGCAGTGCTTTGCTCTGGTAAAAATTGGAATGAAGTTAAAACACGACTGAATAGATGGTTGGAGATACTAAATAAATGGTTACGAAGTAATCAATTATCTCTTAACATAGACAAGTCAACATACATCACTTTTGGCAGTTATTGTGATAGTATACCCGTCAATTATATACTAAATATAAACAACAGAGAACTCACAAGAGTAGATCACAGCAAATATCTGGGTCTGTACTTTGATACACATATGAAATGGAATTTTCATGTGAACGAGCTGGCCAAAAAAGTCAAATACTTTGCTTTCCTCTTTTTCAAATTGAGTAAATGGGTTGACATAAAAATCTTAAAAACTATATACTATGGACTTTTCGAAAGTGTAATCAATTACGGAATAATTGCCTGGGGTGGAGCTTACAAAAATGCTCTGCAGCCTATAACAAATATGCAAAACCGTTTATTAAAGTTCTTTGAAAACAATTATGAAACTAATTTGCCACTTGACATCAAGAAAACTTTTATTGTTAAGGCTATAATACAATACTATGAAAAGTGTAAATCAAAATATCTTACTAAACAAGTACAAACTAGAGCTAACACTCTAACATTACCAAAAATTAAAAAGTCAATTAGCATTAAAAATGCTATTATATAGCAATTAAGTACTTTAACATGCTTCCTAATAAATTGAAGATTCTAACATGTAATAAAAAAATCTCTTAACAAAAATTTAAAATCCTGGATAAATAACTTATCAATATAGTAAATTTTAGCTATATATAATATTAAGTGATTAATTTTTGCTCTTACCTGGTATAATTTATAATTTATATGTATAACTTTGTCACGCAATATTTAGTGTAATATACTATTATCCATGCTAGAATATTTATAATAATAGGAAATAAGCTGTTAAATATATTGTATTTGTAATGCCCTGGTTCTATGCACAGATGTTAAACATCTCTATAGACTTGTACCAGATGAAAAAAAAAAAAATATAAATATCGCTTTTATTTAATATATAAAATGCCTTTTAAACAAAAATTCGCAAAACACGCGTTTTTTGTGACGTGCAAGTGAATACAAGTGCTATAATTAATATTTTCATATTACTTTACATTTTTTGAAAACAAATTATTTATTTTGTTCGTCAAAATTAATTTTAATTTATTTCTTACGAATTTTTTCCAACATATAATATATCAATAATTTATCTATCATTGTGAATACCTCAGTTTTATGAACGTGTAAAAATTATAACAGTACTTCGTGCTGTAATACTGAAAGTGATGCAGTGCACTTGTTTCGTTAATTAGTTCTCAGCAGATTAGTTCAAACTATGCATATGCACGCATTCAAACATACAAAACACACGTGTACATACATATAGGAATGCAGTTTTAATTATTCCTTGCACATACAGTTAGTAGTAGTTACAGTAAATAACGTAATAGAAGAAAAATCTTTAAATGAGTTGTGTTTAGAAACACAATACAATACTCAGTTCGACTAAGTTTTCGTTTATTAAGTAAACTTTTTTTTTGATTTAATAATATTATATTTAGAAAACTAATATTTCTTGTTTTGACACGACGTAGTATTGCAAATCAAAGCCGATTATTGCTTAACTGTAAATATGTGCTTGTTAAAGGGGAAAATTTGCACATGTTGCAAATCTTTTGATATTTATATCCTGAACAGGGTATATTACAATCAGTTTGTAATATTCAGAAAGAGAGGTCGGTGACCTTATAAAGTGTGATAAGCGGAGCCGATTTAGCCATGCCCGGCTATGTATCTGTCAGTATATACACAAACTAGTTCCAAATGAGATATCGATGTTTGAAGAAATCTTGTTGCTAAAAGAAATGCACCTGTTAAGAGTGTTATAGCTTCGGTGCAGCCGAAGCTAACGTTTGTTCATGATTTTTGTAAATTATGCTCATAACTCAGAACATTCTTTCATAAGAAACTTATATATGTTTATCCTCGATTATCGGCAAAATAAGAAAATATGTGATTTTGGACTGATTTCTCTTTCTACCTTTTACTTAATTTTTCTTACATACTATAAGTATACAGAAAGTTAGTTTGAAATATCCGTGACTGCGCAAGTTCTAGTAAATGACTAGCTCTTGCCGAGCTCATGTGAAACCCAGATATCATGTGGTTAAAAGCAAAAAGACGACTAGTTTTATCAAGTAACTCGACACTTTTGATAATGAGTTTAAGCATTCCTTAATCAATCTCGATTGGGTTCAAAGCTAATATACCTTACTATTGTTGTGGATAGTTTCTTTTCTGAAGGAGGCTGCGCCCCGGGTCAGTAGATTTACTGTTACCATTATGATAGCAACATCTGCTTGAAAAAGACTTTAATAGGAAGCATGAAACTAGTGCTTATGGATAGTTTTCGACCGCAGACTACTCCACTAACCCACTCTACCAGCTAACCTTCCTAAAAAGCTCACTGCCGCTCACTTCCAACGATCCCTTCCCACCTATGCTTTCATTCATATTCACATAAGCGTGTCTAAGATATATATATAATTTTACCACGTAAAAGGTTGCTCTGGTTGCTTGGCCATGACACAAATTTAACGAGAAGTTCACATGGAATTTGTTTATTCAAATATTATTATAGAAATGTTGTTAAAGTTTTTCGAATCGTTCTCTGCAGATTTGGAGTACTTACATGTTTTTTGCGAATAGAATAGACGTTGCAAAAGAAATTACTGCATTTTTCAGAAATATCTACTCCAGAAAACTTGCCTTGAATTGATTATGATCATGAAAAGAATTTTGCTTAGCGAACTTTTGAGCCTAAAAATTGGGTTTGAAATGATTAGTTTTCTGCTTATTTTAGAGCGAATTAATTTCTTTAAAATGTTTTCCTTCTTTTTTAATTACAGATTAGATGAAGACAAGTTCGAGCTAATTAACGTAAGTAAATCTCACGACTGCTTGTTCTTTTCAAAATTTCTCTAACTTAAATTCGTATTACAGAACACAGTATTACCAGAGGCAGTGCAATTTTGGGAACAAGCGCTAATGGTGCGCGAAACAAAGGGTGTGATTAGGCTTAACAGGTTAGCACAAATAATTCATGCAATTGCAATACAAATCTAGAATTCTCATAAATTATTTTTTATTCCTATAGAAAATGCAATAGCACACAAGTATTTGTTAAAAATGGTTTGACGCACTGCATCGACAACTGCAAAAAGGTGACAATGTGCGGCGAGGTAGAAGTTCCAAAAGAGCACTTAGATGTGAGTATATAGTTATAAAAATGTCTCTCAGCAATCCCTAAGCATAAGAAATAACAAGTTTAATGACGTTTTTTTAGTTTTGTTGTGGCCAAGGTCTTACTTAAATTAACTTTTTATTATATAATTATAAGTGTAACATTGTGGTCACATATATAGTTGAATATGCAGGTATATTAATTAATATTTAATTATTGAACGGTATTTTCAATGTCATAACCTTAAAATATACGAGACGTCTTTCTAACATAATTTAACAGACGATTTCTCAATTAGACAGAAATTAGTGTGTCGTTCCATTTCTATTTAGGTAGGTTCCACACATTTTATAAAACTCAATAGTAAAAATTTATATTTGACCAAGCACAAGCAACTTAGCAGTCTCAAAAGCAACCTTGTATTTCTAATTAAATAATTATACCTTTACTTGAAGTAAAAACTCTTATTTTTATTCCCGAAGGTTTATATCAAACGCAAAATATCAATTCCTTCTAAATATTGCGTTTATTTGATTCTCATCTACTTTATAACATATTTAGGTGTGTCGCGTGTGTAATGCCACCGGGCAAAATTGCCGCAATGATGAGTCCACACAGGCGGGTGAGGGCATTGAAAACGCCGATTTTATATTTTATGTGTCTGCACGTCAAACGGAGCGCTGTCACAAAGGATTAACGGTTGCTTATGCAGCACATTGTCAGCAAGAAGCACATTTAGATCGACCAATTGCGGGTCATGCCAATTTGTGCCCAGATAGCATAAGTACAAAGCCTCAAGAACTTCAAACACTACTATCCACCGTGAAACATGAAATTTTGCACGCGCTTGGCTTTTCGGTCAGTCTCTATGCGTTCTTCCGCGATGATGAGGGTCGACCACGAACGCCGCGTAAACCAGATACTGGGAAACCCTACTTAAACGAGAAGTAATTCAATGTTTATTTAATATCCAACTGAAAATATACTATATGCACTTTTAATGTCCAAAAGATTGCAAATCCATCAGTGGAGCAATGAGACAATACGTAAGGTGGTACGCGAAAACTGGGTGGTGCGTGGCGGTCATGTGCGCAAAGTCGTCGATATGATGGTTACGCCACGCGTTGTGGCCGAAGTGCGCAGGCATTTTGATTGTCCTCTACTGGAAGGTGCAGAATTGGAAGATCAAGGTGGTGAAGGCACATCCTTAACGCATTGGGAAAAGCGTATATTGGAGGTAAGCAATTTAATTTGTATATGTTGTTGAAATAAATTGATGAATATATTTTATATATTATTCAGAACGAGGCGATGACAGGCACGCATACACAATCACCAGTCTTTTCACGTATAACGCTGGCATTGATGGAAGACTCCGGCTGGTATCGGGCCAATTACAGTATGGCAGCACCCTTGTCTTGGGGCAAAGGACTGGGTTGTAATTTCGTTATGCATAGTTGCAAAGAGTGGATTCAGGCAAATAATGGCAGGTGTGTTTCAAATAATAAGTTAAAAAGCTTAGTATAATGGTTTAGAATAATTTGTCTTATTATATAACCCCTCAATTTATCGTATTGGCTTAAGTTTTGATGCATTGCCTATAGTAACTGAGACTAATTTCTTTAGTGTAGCATATAGTTATTTATTAAAACCACCAAATGATGACATCTGCTGTATTAAATAGATTTCATATATGAAAATTACCCTATAAAGACGGTTATAGTCATAAAAATTCTTTATACAATTTTTTGTAATTGTCAAAATGTTTGCAAATGTCGGCGAAATTAAATTATTTTATTTAATTACTAAAATTTAAGGGGCAGAGCTAGTATGGCACTCTAAAAAAGGTGATTGGGATTTAAAAAAACTACATCACCAATTAAAAATTTAAGGGTATATTTATATATATTTAAAGAAAAAAAATTAAATATTTTTCGAGCTACATGCGATCTTCGATTAAAAATTTTAGTATGATATTTTTAAAGAGAATATATCGAAAAGAGCAAAGTTTTTTAATTTCTCCCAAGGTATGCCTTTTAAGCTTCTAACCTGAAAACTTGAAATGACTCAAAAATATAATATTTTTTAAAGCAATTTTTTTTTCAATTTTAGCTCCAAAATTTTTTTTAAAATTATTTAAATTAAGGGTCAATTGAGTTTTGTTAAGTCATTTTGAGTGCCTTTCGATAGCAAAACTAACTGTTACGTAATTTTCTCAAACGTTTTTTGGAGAACAAAGGTTGAAAACTGTACAGAAATTTTCTTTTCAAATTTTCAGCAGACAAAATTTATTTTAAACGTTCGGAATTACAGATAAAAAAAATTCATATTATTTTGCTTTGACTTTAACTTTGCCGGCATTGCCAGAATTATATTTTCTTAAAAAAAAAAAAAGCATATAAATATTAATACTTAATTATCATACGCCATTTGCATAAAGCAGTAGAATTAAATTTAATATAATCTGTACTAATTGCATAAATGACTTCAACAATCTTTTCATTATGCCCACAATAGTACGAGTAATGAATGGGATAATTGGTTGCGGTATGCGGGAAATCAAATCTAATTGAAAGCACTTGCGATATTGATAATTAAGCGCATTACTATCTATTACAGGGGCCGTTCAATTCACCCATTTTGCTCAAAAGTAAAACAGGATCCCTTACAAACAGAATGCACCGACGATCGCAATTCAGTGGCATTGTGCAATCTAATACGACACGATTACGAGCTGCCAAAGAAATATCAGGTAATTTGCATAATTGGTTTTGAATGGACTGTAATTTTTCAAACGTTGATCAACACAACACTTTTTATTTCCAAAGAATTTCGACAGCATAAATCATGTGAAGAGCGGTGAAGAAGGTTATTACGGCGGTTCGGTATCACTGGCCGATCATTGTCCCTATATACAGGAGTTTACATGGCGCAGCAAAAATGTAATTGTGCGCGGTTCGCATTGTCGTTTCGTTGAGAATAATCCAAGTAAGCCATATGTGTACCAATTAAATACAAAGAAATTATAATTCAAAATTTTTCTTTAATATTTTTAGAACCTGAAAAGAATTTTGCGCTGGAGAGCTACGGTATTGGTTCGAAGTGTTTCGACCACAGTGACTTTATGTGGGAAGAACGCTCATGCCATCAGACACGCGAATGGCAACACTGGGGCTCAGGTTGCTACAAATACGAATGCTCCGACGGGCGTTTACATATTTTAGTGGCGAATTACACATACACTTGCTTTTATCCCGGTCAGACGCTTTCGATACGCATTAATGCGAACGATTGGCTGCATCGTGGCGCGATCATTTGCCCGCCATGTCATGAGCTTTGCGGTGAAGTATTTGCTGAAAGAGGGGAGGAGTGTCGTATGCGTGAGGAAGCGCCACCGGCCAATAAATATCCGCGTGATACATTGACGTGTGCGGCGTGTGAGAGTGCGGCTTTCTGCCGAACATTATTGCTTGCTGCCATAATTGCTGCATTTAGTTGGCGTCGTACACATATTTTTATAGGTTAATATTTTTTTTTTGGGTTAAAACAATTGTTCCCACATTTTTTGTTTTGCTCTTCCGTGGTTATACCATATAATATATGTATGTAATGACATGCCCTTATTGTATAAACTATATTGTAAATAGTAACTATATAACTCAGTTAAAATACGATAAATGTGTTGATATACACTATATTCATAAGCTTAAATTTTTAAGTTAGGTTATCGTTATCAAGCATACTTATGTAATGTGAAATATTGGGGGTACATAAGCCAAGTATGTCAACTGGACAGAATTGAACAAATTAGATAATTTTTTCCAAATTATGTAACAGAAATTAATATAATGCATTTTAAAAAGCTAAAGACTGAGCTCACCATATTGGGTACTCAAACATAATTATTGCCACTAATTGGCATGTAGTAGAAGGCAACTGAATAACTTTTAACTAATTTGGCATTAAAGCGAATCAGATGTAGTTATTGGTTAGATTTAGTCATCATATCGCATGCGATTTTCTGAAGTCCATGGTCATAATGAATTACTTTTCTTTTTCACTTTTTGTATTATTGAATTTAATTTTTGTGATAAATTCTGTGCCGACATGGCTTTTAATTTAATAAAAAAATATTAGGGGTATTCACACCAATTTTGTTAATTCCTTAGACGTTATTCGGTAGTTTTTTTACGTGCGTTTTGTTTTTGTAAACTTAACAAATTTCTTTTCTACCGACTACCGAAGTACCAGTTTGACAAGCTTGATAATTTTTTCGTTACTTAGTAACATCAAATCAGCTGTTTGCTTAGGGTCGTAGCCTAAAAAGTTCATTTGATTCAATGCGAAAAAATATATTTGCTGCTCGCTACAAAATAGTTTAAGAAAAAATTTTCAAAAGTAAGTATTTAATAAATTTGAATCAACTGTTTTGGAACAAAATTTACCACACTACAGAGATAGAGTATCAACTAACGAATTGCCAAACTAACATGTTCGGTTTGAATACCCTTATTGAATTTACACTTCCACTTTATATCAAACTACTTCAAATATGTATTCATAAGAGTATAGTAAAATAATTTTTGAGAAGTGCTAATGGAGTGATCGTCTTAAGCGACGGGAAGTGTAGCCATAAAAATGTTTGGTTATTTAAGTAGCTTGTAGCAACATGTGAATTATATTTTAATTCCTACTAAGCATTTAAACTTTGTCGGCACAGACTTCTTTGCCTTTGTATATAATTTAAAATTAACAAAATCACTCAAGTTTGTGCAATAGCGTGTGAAATTGACGCTTGATATTATATTTTTGTTATAAAAAAAAAACAATTAAGCAATATTTCTTATGTTATAAAACATTCGCAATAGAATTCACACAATAATTGCATTATTAGCTAGTTTTTGAAATTTGCTTCTTAAGTTTAGGGATTATCTAACATTCTGCATACATGCATAGTGTTTTGTATAAATCTTTTGATTGAACTGCTTAAAGCAGAATCACACATGCGATTTGTTTTTTTTTTTGTGCTCTGTCTTATTGACGTCCTTATGCAGTAATTTCTGTTAACTAAGAATCTCTAGAGTTCGTGTGACTGTGACTCATTCTTCAAAAGCTATAGATTCCAGTACGGTTGTTGTAGCAATAGAAAATATTCCCCAAATAATTTCGGAAAATTCAGCCGAGTTCACCGTCCGTCGTTTCTTCTTCAGACACTCTTCTTTATGGTAGATACGACAGAAACGATATATGGTTATATAATTTGTCAGACTTACATGAATGCAACTGAATTAATTGGATCGAATCTTTACTCAGCGTAGACTTACGACTTCTGTCACCTATAACGAGTATTGTATACTCAGATAAGTTAATTTTTTATGACAGAAGATTTGGCCGATTTTACAGCACAACAATTCTCCTACAGTCTTTGCACAATTACCGATATTGTAATGTCATATTAATTAGTTATGCTTTGAATTTAACATGTAATATATTGTTTAATTGTTTTTGTTTTTTATTTCACATGTGTATGCATATATACGATTAAAATGAAAACGATTAGAAACGATACCACTTCTGCCAACAAGCGATTTGCTCATATATACTCATTTATCATCATATATTTGTATATATGTATATATGTATATACATATATAGGTATATATATTATATCACGACATTACTCATTGCTACTCTACATATAATTAAAATTGTGATTTATTATATAACTTTTTAGACGAAACATTACTTTAGAATTTAGGCTTGTAGAAATTGAATACCATACATTCCCATTATATCACGTTCCCTACTAGGACTTGGCATACAAATGTCTGTATGTAATAATAAAAAAGACTATTGGTTTTTGAGGCAACTATATATTGACAAACATATGTGGTAAGCAAACTTTAAATGCTCAGTGTAATTGTATGTATATGTAATGCATTTTAAATGCCTAATTATAGGCTCAATATTTTAGTATAATACTCGTATACCATAATATGTAATTCCATGTCCCAATGTGTGAATAAACATATAAATAACATGAAGAAATAAACATATTACAGCGATACTAATTAAGGGTGCCACATACAGGTTTTAAAGATATCATAAACTATATTTAAGCGATTACGAATTTTAAATAAATACATATATATATATATATATATATTATATCATTTATGAAATACTTTTAATTTAGTAGTAAAAATTTTGTTTTGAAAAGATTATTTCTTTGTATGAGTTGTTATGCTTTCGTTTTGTAAATATCTGTTTAAAAATCTTCTCAGTTTTATTTCCGACAAAAACTATTGAAATGCGCAAATTATTGAAGCAAATAAATATATTAAAATAATTATGTACATAATAGTTAATAATAATAAAATTGTGTTTAATTCAAAAATGTTTTGAAACCAAGTGCCACTCTGTGAATGGAATTTGTGTTGATCTCCTTAGGAAAACTATTGGAATTGGCAATATTGTGAAAAAGAATTCTTTCGAAAATGTTCGGAAGATCATCGATTGTTCATTTCCTATAATTCTAGCGCTGAATCACAGCAATATCAATGTGAGCCAAAGAAAGCTAACTGAGATATAGACTATGCTGCCCTAATCTAATTTGTACCTAGAAGTAAGTAATCAGTTGCTTTTCCGGCTCAATACCAACATTTGATCTATTTAATGTCTTATAAGACTCTAAAAGAACAACGTTAACTTCGGCTGCCTCGAAGCTGTAATTCCTTTCACATATAAAAATGTGTATTAAAAGAAAAAAATTGTAATGTAAAAGCATAAAAAGGTACAAGAAGATCATTATTGTGATTTTGATCGGCCAGTTTAGCTAAATGCTATAGTAGTCCGATATTGACGCTTCCGACAAATGTGTAGCTTCTTAGGGACATGAAGATACATAAAGATAGAACATGTGCAAAATCGGTCGATATCTCAAAATTTAAGGGTCACTTCGTCACGCTGACCATTTATACATATATATATTTAATAGGGCATTAGCCATTACCTTCTGGGTGTTACAATCATCCCGGCAAACTGTCTTAATATTTGCCAACAACCTTTTGTCTATTGCTGTCTTCTAAGTCGAAGAGCTATATGTTGGCAGATTCAATTCAAAAGTTTCTATTCCTAATAGTATGAATAATGTCGAAAATTATGTATGAAAACCTTTTTAATATCAGAAATAAGAGAGCTTCACCACCCGAAGGTGTCACTATTGCAAGCAATACTTACTATTCTACGATCATTGTCGTGGATTGTAGAAAATTGACTCAAGTGCATTACCGGTTAGTGATTTGATCAATTTGTTTTGAAAGAAATCCCGCAGAAAAATCAAAAATCTCTTGCCGTATACGGTTGCGGCTAGCACGGACGATGTGGTGACAAAAGTCCACCATTTCGTATTGACAGACCGCCAATTGAAAGTGTATGAAATATTTGGCATGAGATTTTATTCAGCGTCATGGGTGTAAACTCCGGACAACAATCTCAACTGTGAGAGTATTTCATATCACGTGAAAAGAGTTTCAGCTTCGTGTTGTAACCGTCGACTAAACATGGATCCAGTAGTACACAGCATAGATTAAAGAAACGATTAAAACAGTGGACAGTGGAAGAAGGGACAGGCTGTCTTTCTGCCGAAAAAGTGATAGCCATCGTTTTCTGGGACTCGGACTCATACACTATATTTTTCAGATTTGGCACTGCACGACTTCTTTTTGCTTCTAAACTTGAAAAAGTGACTCACTGAATAGAAATGTAAGTCCAATGAGCAGGTCATCCCGCAACGAGCGCTTACTTGCAAACTTCAACAGCACGTATTTTTTTATCAGAAATATTGCATCGAATGTATTTTGGTGAGCGAATTATTTATCATCTCACTTGACATTTCTAACCTTAATATTTGCAGAATTTTGTCATTTTGTGCAAAAGTGAAAAACTAATGTTACATTTTTTAGTTTTTTGGTTTTTATTTTGATTGTATTTTTTATATTTATAAATATTTTATTTATATATAAATTATAATCAGAATATAGTCAAAATATACATACAGATATAATATAAATAAATTTAATACATATTATTTAAAAAATTACTTCATTGTTATACATATATATACAATAAAAATAAAATATAATTATTATTATTTAAATTAATAAAGAATTTTCTCATAATTTTACAAATAAATTATATTAAACAAAAGTCAGTTCCTAAGCATTTGTCATAATGCGGCTCCTAGTAAACTTTAATGCTTTTATTTTTCAAGTTTGTAGTAACTTATAGGTGCAAAGAAAACTGAGTATTTTATACTACAACTGGTGCGTTAGAAAAGTTCGTTCTTTCAGAAAATAAAAGAAAACAAATGTACCACCCTTTATGGGCATGCAATTTTTGTCGCATTTAACACACGAAAAGTATATACAAATATTAAATTTCCAAATTTTACAAGCGTAGTGCGTACAATAAATATTTTAACTTTACAAATATAATATATGGTGATTCACATTTTTTATTAAAAAAAATATTCTTTTTATTGAAATTGTTAAATTATATTATACTTTTATTCAATAACATTGGAATCTTGCTCCTCAGGCTGCTTAATACTAAACTTATATATAGCTATTTACATATACACACACACACATACATACATACACGAATAAGTTAAATACCAGTATATAGTTAGTTTAATTTTCAATTAAAAACTAAATATTTCTTCCATGACAATAACACTGACTTTTCATACATTAATTAATTAGAGTTTAAATAAAATAATTCAAAGATTTCCTACTTATGTACTAATTAATTAATAAACTACTTTAATAAGCATGCATGGTCAACAAATTTTTCAATAAAATACTTAAATCCCATACTAAGTACTCATTTTTAACTTAATGTTGATGACAGATTGTGCCTAAAAACGACACTTCGCGAATAGGCGAAGCAGCCGTTAGGCTAAAATGCCACTGAAACCTTTCCATCACATCCTACGTATAGCCAACAGCTTAAGCCACGCGTCCGACAGGTCACTGGTAACGCCACTCCTGCGGCAGCACGATATTCTTGAGGGCATACAAGAATCGCGCATACCAATGTATGCCCTTCGTTCGCGTTGTCGCAGACATCGTCGAATTGCCACCGTCACTTTTCGCTTGCTCCGACGTCACAGCATTACTGCCGGGCAGCCACGAACGCATAGTCGCCAACAGACGCATAGGCGCTAATCCCCAATGTGCCAGCTTTTGACTGTTCACCACAGCGTAGCAGGAAGCCGTCACCGAGTCGACGACAATTGTACCGGTGCGTGTTAGTGGCGCCACCACACCCGGCCGATGCGCCACCTTCAAACGTTGTACACGTTGCGGACTCAAACGGTCATACTGATCGTGCACCAGCACATAATCATTCTCCTGCACACGATCGGCGAACATGTATTCCAGTCGCTGTTCGGTCGGATGCCAAATTAATACTAAATGCGCCGGCGTCACAGTCAATGTGGCGCCACCATCTGTGTGAATCTGCACAAAATTCTCCACTTGCTCCAAATTGCGATCCATGAAGAGTATTACTTCGCTGTAGACGGGTTGGCCGGCAGCATCCATGGTGAGCACACGATCGCCAATATTCAAATTGCGCAACGTTTTGCGTTGTCCGTTCTCGAGTAGTACGCTGCTGTCGGCCGCAAAACAACCGCTCATGTGTGGTAGCTGTTGTGAATCTGCAAGGGATGGAGAAAATGCCGAAATTAGTACTTGTAGGGACAGTTGAATGCTTGTAAGTGCAAATATTATCAATATTATTTAGTGTTGCTCAAAATCTTATTACTGCACGCTGCGTGCGGATTAGCCGCAATACGTGTACGCAGCTAAGCAGCCACGAGTCACACGAGTCAGCTTGTAGTATTATCATTTCCTTAATCCCAGCTAAACTTACATTCTATTTTCTAGCCCCTATAAGTTAATCCTGCTGTATAAATGTATGTATGGTTCGTGTTGGCGTGGAAGTACCAAACGGTCAGCATCTAATCCAATTTCTTGCAATAAATAGAAGTGCGTAAAGAATACAGAGGCTAAGGAGGGTATGAGGCAAGTAGAGATTAGTTTTCGTAAAGATGATTTACAACCTTTCATACAGAAAGCGATTAAAATTCGATATACTTTAAAATGTTGTGTGCTAACATGAAAGGTTAATGCTAATTGGATTTAGCCTTAGCCAGCTGAAGTCGAAGTTTCGTGCCGCAATTTCGTGTGTTTTTTCCTTTTAGAAGAATTGTTGGTGGTACTGAGAAATTGTGAAATACAGTGTGGTGTTAATGGATGAAAAATATTTAGAAAAATATTATTATTTCAAAAATATTATATTTGTTTCTACACCAAATATTTCAATAGTGCTAAACGCAGTGAGAGAAAAATCTCAAAGAGTTCTACTTGAGGTAAGCAGAAGCACCTTTCTCACTTTCAACTATAGTCTTTACGACCAAAGTAGCGGTTTTACTGAGGAAAACTGAGTTTTTTCTTAGACTAATTTGACAACATTGCCAAGACTTTGGAAATAAAGTTTTGCGCCTAAAAGATGCCAAAAGTAATATGTGAATTAAATATCAAGCTTTACTGTTGGGAAAAAATAGTTTCTGTAGTATTACAAAAATAAATAAAAATAGGCCCAGGAGCCTAACTAAGTTAGCCAATGTGTGATGTACATAAATAGCAACCAATGTGAATCTATAAGTGTTATATGTGTATGAACCAACTTTAGAGCCCCCACACACGCCCAATATACATACATCTAGGCGTATGTATTTACATTGTGCATACATATAAATAATATGTATGTATATATGTACGAGTGTGAATGCATGGCTCTGACAACGTATGGGTCAAGCCACAGTTACAAGCCGTGTATGAAGCGTAGAGTCGCTTGAAAGGTCATAAATTAATAAGCCATTAAAATGCCTGAAATTATCTTTGCGCGCTTTTGTTATTGTTACTATGTACCGGGTGTATATGGACACGGTGGTGTGCTCTGTCTCTGGCATTTTATCTTTACTGCTGGTAAAACTAAACTGATAAATTATTACAAAACAGAAAACAACAACAATAACAACTTACAAGCAAGAAGAAAAATGTACGCAACACAGATTCAGCATTCAAGAATGGTCATAACAAGCAACGGACACGCATATATACACATGTATGTATATGTCCATAGGCCTGTCGATGTTTGTAGGCATTTACATATGTACATATACATATGCATATATATGTATATATATATTTAAATATGGGTGTGCATAAAAGCGGCGCGCTTGTATGCAAGAATGAGGTATGTGGAAGCAGTCGTGCCAGCAACTTATGGCTACTTGCCGCTCATGGTTCGTCATTGTAGTCGAAATTGGTGTTAGTTAATATTAATGGTGTTGCTGTTGTTGCTATTGTAGTTGCCGTTGAACGCAACATCAAAGTCACTACTTTGTTTAGGCTCTTTGCTGAGCTATTGTTGTTGCAACCAGCGCTAGCAAGGTGACATTTACTATCAAAAGACAGCACACACGTACACAGGTACGCAGGTATATGTATGCGTGAGTGTGCAGCTATTTATTAAACTTGCAAAATATTATTTTACAAGAGTTTGTTTAATTTGTAAAATACGCTGCAAGTAAGGCAGTATAATCTGTGATAATCCAGATTTGCGTTTACTGCATACTCGTAAGCTCAAATGATAAAAATGCTTTGTTGTTTATATATTATACTATTATATCGTCATGTCTGGAAGGTGTCATTTGTGTGAATGCCTTATCCGAATTCGCTTATCTCATGATTTTAAATGAATTTAGAGGTTATGTTTGGTAAATGCCCCACTTGTACCACATATCGTATTTGAAAACCGAATTGATATATACTTTTGTGCTAAATTGGTATATGGTCTTTTCTGTTTGTGTGAAGTAAATCTCCATATGTTAATTAAAGTGTGTTTGGCAGACATTTGTTTACGACGCGAAAAATTTGTCGGGCGATTTCTATGATATCGAAAAAGTCAAAGAAAGAGTGCTTGAAAATCATTGTGTTAGCATCAGAGATATTAGCAGAGATCTCAACATCTTTGATGTATCGTTTCAACATATTGAGGTTAATGTTTTGAGTATGAAGCATGTCAAAGCTAGACTCGTACCGAAAAAAAAAATCACTTAAGGCACTATAGGCGCTATAGGCACTACGGGCTTACATTAAAAATAAATAAATTTAATAAGTTACTAGCAGTATGGAACTGTTGTAATTAATTTATACAGTTCTTAACAGCCTTAGGGCTTATCTTTCTTTCAGTCGTTCGTTTTCGTCAAATTCGTTTAAATATTATCTCTGCTTTTATAGTAGGGAATAATGAGCTTCGAATAGAGCCATATTCTCCGAAATTATGGGCGATCCGATGGTTTTGTTCAGATGTCGAATATGTGAGTTTTTCCAACTTGTTCGTTCATTATGCCGTAATCTATCGCATAAAACTTTGTTAATTGTTACGGGATCAAGCAGTAGTTTCTCGATTTTAGTCTCGAGATTGAAATATAGTGGCCATCTAGATTAGAGCACGTTGCGCAGTAAGCATGAAACCGACAATTGCAGCACTGAAAATGAAATGAATCTCATTGAAGCCCAGAGGTGCCCCAAAGGCAACTTGAATGAAGAGGTCCAACTAACTACTTAGCAAAAGTGCAGCCAGCAATTATTGAAAACGTGGCTATCAGTGTCCATTTTCTAGTATGTGTGTGTGTTAAGACTGACAATAAGTGTTGGCATTCACTGCCGCCATTAACAGTCCACAGTTTCACTATTATTTGTATTCCTTAATTACACCACTGTGCAGGCAGATGGAAATTGATTCCACCTAATTCGCGTTCAACCGATCGTTATCCAATTAATTTAATACGTTAGCTTATTTCACACATACTTGTACGTAAATATGCACAGATCCACACATATATACATACATATAAGTTTGTATGGCAAGTATAAGCAAAACTCCTTGCGGCACGCCTTCAAAATAAGCCTAAGCCAAAACGGTAAAAGGTAAAAAGGCAGTTAAATAGACAAAAGCAACACAAAACTCCACACATACACACACACACACACACAAATACAAGCATATGTATGTGGATATTTACACAGACGGTGCAGGGGTTGTGCCGATTCTCAGTTTCATTACATATCAGCACCATCAATCTCGGCAATATGTTTAGTGTGGCATATTATTTCACCGCAAGTGATCCACTACACACTCCTTATCGCGCTGTTTCTCTTCGTTTTTGCCGCTCTAATTGCGTGTGGCTCATGTTGCACATTGTAAACTAATGTAACGCGCTGCTTTCAGGCTGTCTGTCTGCCCTTGTATATCCTTGTACTTGTAAATGCTGAATGTATCGGTATTTGGTTACCCAAACGAGCAGCAAAATCGAAATCATTCACAACAACAACAACAGGATCAGGATGAGGCTAATGCAAGCGCTTACACTTAGCCGAATGGGCGAGCGAACAAAGATTAGACCACACATTGCACGCAATCACATACATGTGTGTGTGACTGTATTGTTGGCGGTGTTTGGTCATAAAGGGCCGAGCAGCGGGAGTGAGAGTGTGCTGTAAAATTTGTTGATATACAAGCGTATTGATAGGGATGATCCTGTTGCCTTAAATTATTTTTGATTTTCTTCCTTTATCCTTGTTAGGTAATTTTGTTGTTATTGTTAGTGTTCTTCGTATCTTTCTCCGTTTGACTGTGCTCAGCGGCTTGTTTTTTATGTTGCTAGTAAGCAGTCTCACGCAATTAGATTAATAAACCATAACAATAGAAAGCAAAAAAGGAGCAGCGATGAGAAAGGATCAGCTATTTGCTTGTATGTATGTGTGTGTGTGCATTGTGGTAGATGTGTGTATAACTTATACAGTTCTGTGACAGTCGACAACAAGGACACTCTATGTGTAGGATTTTTGGTCACTTGAATGCGGTGCTGTTAGTGAGCAGCGGGAGGGGCCACTGCGGCAATGCGTTTGATCCCGTTAAAGCGTATTTATTGTTAGTGTGATGCCTGTTATATGTGTGCGGTGACGTTTAAAGTCAAAATATTTGGTTCTTTTGTGGTTAGCCGATAGGTAATGTAATATATTGCTTATAAATTCATACATATTACACATGCTTATACATGTTCGTGCGTGTATGTATGCTGTGGAATTTGATTTTTATTTTTTGTGTGTTGACTTTTTTAAAGCGGTTTGCAAAAATTTAGTAGAAGTGTGGGAATTATAATTTATGGTATATAGACCAGGGTTGAAGCCTTTGATGGTAAATGGTTAAAAATGAAAAAAGAAATGGTAATAATAGTAGGATGAAATGCATCGGAAAAGGAAGAGAATATAAAACGTAAGTAATAGTAATTGACGGGCGATCTGCGATGGGCTGGAAGTGGAAGGGAGACGGGGTGGTTGAATTCCTAAGGATAAAAATTGGTTTACCTTGATTTCCGAACAACTATAGTGCTATGGAAAAAAATTAAATCGCAAAGTTGTAGGTAATAAAAGTATCTACAACCTTTGTGTTAACACTTTTATCCCATAACCTTAAAATTTAAGTTTTATATTCTTATTATTTACAACAAAGTATTATTTTATGTTCCAAACACGCTTTAATTTTTCTCGTTAAATATCTGTTTTTTTAAAGTAGATATATATATATAAAATATATATTTCCACGGTAAGTTTAATCAGAAACTACAAAAAAGACTCCACTAAAATTAAGCATTTAGCTCCAATATATGTGCATATGGAATAAAGAAAAAACTTCTTTTTTTTTGCTTAGCCTGAGGGTAAAATTTGGTAGATTATAAAAAAAGAAAATTTTAGGAATAAAACATTTTTTATTTTTTTTTAGGCGGCCCACTCACTTTTAAAGTAAATTCCGAGTTAAAATTCTTATCTCGTAAAAAATTTTTGATAAGTGTTCTAGAAGCTTTGGAGAGTTCTCTTACTGGCCAATTAAAAGTTATAAACTTAAAAAAATTTTTTATTGGAGTTTTAAAAATAGACAACATGCTTTCCTTAAGCGTTAAAATAAAAATTTTATCCAAATAAAATTTTAACTCGAAATTTACTTTAAAAGTGAGGGCCGTCTCTAGATAGTAAAAAAAAAAAAATTTCCAAAAATTTTCGCTTTTTATAATCTACAAATTTTACCCTCAGGCTAAGCAATCACCCTAATATGGAGTGAGTTTTTACTTTAATAAAAATAATTTTTCAATATTAACTAATTTTAAAAAAAAAATGTTTATGATTGATACTAATAAATTGATTTTTGCAAAGTTATTTTTTCCAAAAAATGATTCTATCAAAAATTGCCTCAAATAATACAAAATGAAATTTCTTGCGGGATTTTTCCGAAATGTCGGTTGAACAAGAAAAAATTTTGCAACCCGACCCAAAATTTTTGGCGATGTATTCGAAATAAAGATTTCAGCCAGTTTGAAATAGGTCGCGGGGTCGTGTGGGACCCGGCTGATATATCTTTTAAATATATATGTACATGCATTAAATAAACTACAAATATTAATATATGTGAATATGCATGCAGGTGAGCCTAACTAGTAAAGCAAAGTATCATTGAGTGCTTTTAAGTGGTGATGGCACATTACAACCATACATTTAAAACGCACACATATTATATATATATATATACACAATGTAATACCTAATATACATATACAAACATCTACAAAACAACTGACTAAAGACATGCCGCGGCGGCGCTTTTCTCCATTCACTTTTCTCTTTTTGTCTCTAAACACACATACACACACACACACATGTACCCTGCCACTGTTCGTTTTGGTCTACTCCAGTCCGGTTCGGGTGCGTACAGCCCATTGGTGTTGGCTTTGTTCGGCTCTTCACACTCGTTGATATTAAAACAGGCGCGGTTTTGATTGTTTGCTTGCCACGCACATACACATGCACATATGTTTTATGTAGACATTGTTGTTGTTGCTGCTGCTGCGTTTGTTGGCCATATTCTGGCTTTATATTCGACAGTTAAAGCACTTTACGAAAATTAATTATGAACGTGATTTGGTTGGTTAGATTCAGTGTCTTGTTGCGCATGCGCGCTTGTATGTATGTGTGGTTAATAGGAACGGGCATATAGCTGGGCTGCCTTCCTGCTTTCTAGACATATTTTCGAGGCATATGCATGCATACGATGCACCGCTATGCACCAGTGTGTGCATGTGAGTAGCTTTTGACAACGGCTTTTGTGTTGGCCAATTCGAAATTTGACTTGTCGGCTGTCGGTTGCCGGTAAACCAGTATTGATACCTTTTTCCGGGTCAACCTACGGCTGCGTGGACAATAAAAAGGCGCCCCAGCGCTTTGACTCTCGTCAGTTGTCCGATTTGCGTATGTAAGTGTGTGTGTTTGTAGATATTTTGTGAGATATTTTTCGATTTCTCTGCAGTGATAGATTTTTAAAGCCACACTTAACTACTAATATGCACATACACATATAAATACGTATATATGTAAATGTATGTAGTGGAAGCAAGTTAAGCACCTTTTTTGACAGTTTCAAGAAATAAAATTTCAGAGTCGTTGACACTTACTGTGCTTCAGAAGTTCATTACAACAATAAAAATGCAGAAAATATATTAACTATTTTACTTTGTTGTTATATTATTATTTTTTGTTGTTGTTTTTATTTTAGTTGTCACTGTCACCGTTTTACTACCACATTAACCACATTTATTCCATTTCGAATCAGTTTAGCTTTTTTATTGTATATATGCACATATATATATGTATATGTATATCGGTAAGTCGCCGCATCCGCATGCCTACATACATACATACATACATACATATGTACATATGCGTGTATATCTACCATTGTTTTGCCTTAAGCATTATAGTCACCGCAAACTAGCATTGTTATTGCGGTTACTCTTATTCTGACTGGTTATGCTTGTTGTTGCTTTGATCAGTGTGTAACTGTTGTTGTTGCACAGCTTCCGTCCCTACCAAATTTCCCATTCCTTTTGCTACTCTTTACCCATATTGTGGATACTTTGTTGGCTGCCTTCGGTTTCGGTTCGGTCTTCTTGTTGTTTTTGTTGCTGCTGCTGTCGTCATCGTTACGTTCATGTGAAACGCAGCGGAGGTCGCATCATCAATTCGTTTAATTTGACAGGCGCAACCCTAAACATGTCAAAGCAGTAGGATGCATACGCACCTACTACTTAAAAACACACTATCTTTGGAGTCTTTAGGTTTCCGCTTTTGATTTCTTTTTGGCCATTTGTATTCTTTATACGACTGCTTTTTGTTAGTTCATTGTCTTTGTAGGCCAATGCAATTTTCGGGTGCATATAAACCTTTATACATTCATATATACGTAACATATGTATGTGTGTGCGGTTGTTTGAAGGAATTCGGTTTTACGTGGGGCTAAGGAGTCCAGAAGGGAAGTATTTATAATATACCTATAAGCGGTATAAACATACAAAAATCTAATCCATATACCATATGTATATATTTTTTGGACATCTAAAATAAATACAAATACTTTTCTAACTTATCAAAGTAGAGTTTTGAACATTTTGTAAGCTCATACCAAATCTTTCATATTTGTTTAAAGGAGCTTAAATCGGCTTAAGCTGACGCTAGAACTTTCCAATAAAAATTCCGGCATAGTCGTTAACTGCAGTTCATACTTACTTGCAGTTGCTGATTTTAAGGTATTGTTAAAGATTAAAACATTGCTTCACTTCACAACTAATTTCATAATTACTGATATTATCAAAAATTAATATGAGTTGACATAAGCTGTTTTAAAATTAGATAGATCAGCGATTACTATTATCCTTAAAATGTTTTTTTATTTTTTATTTTAATAACAAACACGCATAAAATACCAACAAAATCAGAGCCATCTAAACTCAGTATAGTCCAAAAATTTCTTAACTAATTTGCTGAATCAATTCTATATTCTAAGCAAACTTTTTGCTACTTTTTATATGTAATAAAAAATGCATTTAATTTTTTCATGCTTACCTGATTTTACAGAGCAATGTATGTGCGCCCGACTCTCATAATAGACCCAATCGAAACCGGCTTCGACAGCTAAACGTGCCAACATGCCATATTTACTAGTATCACGATCGGATGTCGTTATATCGACTGCACGCCCCTCGTAATGTAAGGAGTCGGCGTGGTGTTCATTATCCTCATCCCAACTTTCGATGACGCGCAAACGCACGTCCCGCCATTGATTCATCACAGAAACTGCGAGTAAAGTTAGTTTCTCTTTGCAGCGCTGTAATTAAAAAAAAAGAATATAATAATTAATGTGAAATATTTGCCGTTATTATAAATTATTAAACGTTATCGATATTTATTTAGTGTAAAAAGTACCGATATAAAAAAATCGACTTTATTCAAAAATATCTAAGTATGTATTGTAATATATTTAAGACATATAATTAAAAAAAATACAAAAAAATACATATTCAACAAATTTTAAACTGTACCCAGAACCAGTTATATGAGCCGCATAATGAGTTATCACGCTTGAGGTGTCTGAATATGTCTGAAATTGAATACACGAAGTCCCTGAAAACACAAAGCAACCGCCGAAACTTAAAAATAAAAGAAAGTATATATGTATTTGTGTTGAATAATATTCCAATGTGATAATATTCGAATCAATTTCGGCATGATCATAAGTAACAACGAGCTCTTAACGGCGTTTGTGCCCAAGAATGTTGCAGTTGTCTTTATTAGAGCTTTTGTACTTGCGCATCTAACTATTTGATCACACACACACACACACACATGCGCGTTAAAACAAAGTACAAGTATAATGGAATTATAAAAAAAAAAAACTTATTTTTAACATGTTGTGCTCTGCAAACAGCAAACCATTTACATACAAACACTGTTATTTGAATAGGCAAATGGCATGGCAGCATGCGCACAAGTCCTCCGCCTAGGCATGGCCACTCGTTATTATTTTAACAATGGACCAAAATAAATAAATGGAAATATAAGAAGTTGTATTAAAAATCAATTTTCCCCATTTGTTGTTGGGTTGTGTATGTCAGTTGTTTACAACAAATACACGTATGAAAGGTGTTTATTTAAACGCACAACGTCGAATACCTCGTTCTGCGCGATTGCGAAAGGTCGAAATACAAATATTGATTTTCGCCGACATCAATAAAGTGCACGTACATATTTACATATCGACGTATATAAGTGTGTATATATGTATATGTGTATTGCAGACCTTTCAATTTGTAATTATGGTGGGTGCTTACTTGAGTCCACCTTAGGACATGTAATACACCTAGATGCTATTGGTATGCTATATACATATAGATATGTATAAATATTATATCTGTTTGTATGTATGGTTTTGTGTGCATAATACAACACTTATGGCACGAATGATTAGGTAAATACGCTTGTGTTTACCTGTGAGCCTGCGTCTTATTTCTCTACCAGGTTGGGGTACAAAAAGGATTCAAAGGCTTTTTGCCGCAAACAGTCAATATTTTTTTATTTGAAAAGTTGGAGTTTTTTGCTGTATTATTTGCATTCCAATAGCAACAGCAGCTCGTACAATATTTTGTAGCGTTGGAAATTTTACAAGCCAGCAACAAAGTGGGAAGAAGCAGCAACAGTTAAAATAGAAAAATAAATTAAAAACAGACACGAGCTGTGGTTGTAGTTGAAGTAACTAGCATGTCTCAAGGCATTTCCACTTCTATTGTGGAATTTTCGAAATCAGCTGCAGCAAATTCTTCTTCAATTGTCCATCGAGAATCGACCACAAAATCAATTATCAACGGCTGTGCAGCAGTGACACCGTGTGCGTGTGTGTTTGTGTGCCACCAGTTGGGCGTTTTGTGTTTGTATACATGCACGCACTGTACGTTTGCAAACAATTCGCCACCAACATTTGCGGTGATTGCTGTGTGGCGGGAAGTGAGCGTAAAATTGATTTTGTGCACCTTGTTGGTTTAATTTTCCAAAGGATTTCACAGCGCAACTATTCTGTCATACATGCATTTGCTTTGCATGTAACCAACTGCATCTCTGTTTGTATGTATGTATTTATGTATGTGTATGTGTTATGCATAAAACACATATTTTGCTCGAATTATCTAGTTACTGAGCGTAAATAGGCACAGTCACACTCGCACACACACACATGCTTGTTTTTGTGTATTGTTTGTTAATTGTGTCGCTTGTGCAATTTTCGAAAATTCAATGTAAAAATTTAACTGTTTATTGTAGGCGTGCCGAATGCGCCGTTATTTATGCGGTTTTAATGTGGCATACAAAGTGTAGAGAATCGATGTTGTCTTTATGCTCGGTGTGAGTTTATGCTTTTACATAGAACACAAATTTCACTGCAAGTTTGTCGCTTAAGTCTATTGTACTGTGCGGGAAATGAGCAATGTTTGAGCGATATGGACGTAAATTCAAATAGGTTAACTGTAGTTCAATTCCTACAGCAAAATAGCTCTCATTCTGAGCGGGTAACAACTTTTTATTTATTTGAAAATAATTGATATTTTGAATATGCAAAATTTATATAGCGTAAATTTTGCTGTGAAAAATTATTACTTATTTTCAAAAAATTGAATCGAAGATATATTTAGGTAAACTCTTCCTGTGTTAAATTTTTCTTAAAGATATACATATATATAAATACTTTTTTGCTCATTAAAAAAGTAATATGCCTTTATAACTGAAAAGTGGCTGATTGTATACCGAAAATATTAAAATATTTTATTTTTCAACTAGAAAATATGCTGTATTTCTTATCTTAGTTCTAGATAAATATAAATATAAAAAAATTCCAACTAATATTTTTTAATTCGCTTTGATTTATACCGCTTTTACTCTATTGTCAATTGCTTTTCTGTTTCGACATCGTCATTTAAGGATTATAACTCACCAAATTGTGTACATATACAAATATGTTAAATTATATTGTTCCAAAAAAACATAGAACTTAAAAAAATATTTATTTTCACATATTTTAATTTATCCGAATTAATTTTTTAATAGTACTTTTTATATAAAGAAAGCTTCTTTGCATAAATCTTTACATTAATAAATATTATAAGTAACGAAAACATTATTTTCCAACAATTTTTATGAAAAAAGTTACCAAAAGTTGTATTTAAAAAAAAATTTCAATAAGACTTTTACTTATTATTGTTTGAGTTTAACGATTTTATAACCAGTTTCACCTTTAACATATGTATATGTATATATTATATTATATATATACATATATATTTGTTTTACTTCAATGCATACTTAACTTGTTTTGAGAAATTGAAATTTATCTGAATAAAATAGGAAATTAATAGATTTAAAACAAAAAAATTTCGTCATTAATATATGTTTTAAATATTTGAAATGATTAAGTTTTCGGAAAATGTTAAATTGTTTCAAAAATTTTGAAAATAATTATTTTTTTTTATTTGGGTCCCATAAAAAAGCTTAATCTTGCGTAACCAACATTTTAGTGTTGTAAAAATTATTTTTTATGTAAAAAATTTGTTTTGCCAATTTTAGCCATAATTAGTATAATTGTCTTCTTACAAAACTTTTTGCAACCAAAAACAAGAATTTTACTGTCAAATTTTTGATACAGTGCACATAAGTCAACTAGTAAAGTTCTAGACATATCTAACTACATCACACATATACCATGTTGTATTATGAAGTATTGGAAAGTTTGTGCATTTATATTAATTTTTTATTCAGTTATTTTGGCGCATTCACTCTCACATTACATCACAGTCTTCGTTGTTATTATTATTTCTGCCATAAGTCTAGCGCCCAGTCGCTTCAGAGATCATTTATGTACTTTATTAAAAGGCTTAACCACTCAAGTACCCACTGGCTGCCGGCGCGTCAGTGCGCAGACGCATTGACACTCGAAGCACAACAAATGTATGCAAATGAAGCTCCGAGTGCTTGCTTACAGCCAGCAAAACTGTTCGGCTGCAGCGACAAGCACTTAAGTCGTCGTACAACATGCGTACGAGTAATGCTTAAAAGCGCCGTGATGACACTCGAAAGCGATTCGGCATGAATGTGACGGACAAACGCAAGTACACCAATATATATGTATGTATATGAGTGTGTGCGTATGCGTGTCAAGTTGTTGATTATGATGGTCAGTCAACTGCTAATGAGCGCAAAAGCGTATCAGCGGGTCGAAGTGAAAATATTATCAATAAATGCAACACATTGCTGACAAAAGCCTCTCCAAAAGGTTTAAGCGCATTTAAAAGCTACCATACACGCACACATACGCACACTGTGGCATCCTGGCACCTGTTGGTTGGCTCTGGCCCAGTGTCTGGGGGCTTACTCTTTCGCTAAATGCCCGACGACGTTCATGGTGGCAAATGCTTCGAATTGCTTTTGTCTTAACGTTTACTTGTTGATGAATTCCACTATTTGCTTAACTAAGATGTGCGAGCGTCCTCATGCATACACGTATGTATGTATGTGTGCGCGTGTGTACCGCCAAAGTTGGTGGCCGCTTACTGGCCTCACCGTTGAAGAGGTCACGCCGTCGACTGGCCGCCAATACTCTTTCACATTGTTTGCGGCTCGGTCTACTGGCTTATTGGTCTTTCGTTGTCGGCTTTTAGAACGGCAGTGGCAGCGTCATGCAAATGTTTGTTGTTTGCTGTTTGATGCTTGGCAATGTTGTTGTTGCGCAGTCGCACAGTGCAATCAGTTTTTAATTTCTGTTTGGAGTGCAAACAACAATGCGTACGGCGAAAATCTCTACAGTTACAAGCATACACATACATACATACCTTACATACGAATGTATGCACAAAAATGCTGGAGTTCTTCAACTTCTTCGTTGATGAATTTGTTCTAACCATTCATAGCGTATCAACAGAGACACAGGCAACAAACCTAAATGGCATACACAAAGCTGTGTCGCTCTGTTCGATGATGAGGATCATTACGATTCCCTAATCAAATATTTGCCAATTACTATTTCCATACTCTTGGCACTTGGCAGGTCCTCGCCTCTCGGTCAGCCTTTGCCTTTTTGCCTACTTTGCTTTGAGTTTTTGTTTTTTTGTTTGTATGGGTTTTGTTTTAGTATTTGATTACTCCATACTAGCTATGCGGCACAAATACATATACATATGTATGTGAATATTTGTATACAAATGCTTTGGTGGCATAAGAAATGCCGACGGGTGAGTAAGATAAACATTTCACCTCAATTAAACAACGATATGTGTGTATAAAATATTC